TCACCCAGGGCCTGTGCTGGAGTCCAAAGCTCAGACATTGACCTATGGCCTCTCTGCGGTGAAAAGAGCTCCAAGGAGGGGGTCGTGGTAGAGCGAGGCAAAGGTGGCTTGAGGGTGGCTGTCTACCTTCTCTGCAATGCAGAGAACCAGGCAGTTGCAGGGAAGCCCACATCCCTATGCCATCAGGAGGGAATCTGGCCCACTGATTTTATTAATCAGCAGAGACTGAAACATCTTAGTCAGAGGATTAACAGCAAGAGCACGAGTCTCAGTTAAAACGTAACTGCCGGGTGCACCCACTTTATGCTGTGTGAGTGATGGGAGACAGTATCTTTCCTCCCTAAAAAAATTATTACACCCGTACAAGTGGAGTGCATCAATCGTAGCCCAGGACACTGGTGAGCAGGCGTCTCGGAGCTGAAGATGGAACATCCAAGTGAATGCCTTCGCAGAAGATTTTCAGTCAGCTGGACACCCTGACTCACGCAGCGGCTTGGGAAGAGTGAGAGGCAAAATAAATAAATACAACTGCATTATCTAGGCACCATTTTGGTCACTGGAAGCTTCATGAGACCATCGTTACTGCCGATTCCAGAGGGAGATTCAGAAATGCCTACTGTGGCACACGGCAACAAGACAAACTGGTTTATGCCTGTTCTCTACAAAGTGGTCACCATTAAAACCTTGCTAAGAGGGTTAGATAATTTGTTAGCTTTACCTCATTGTTTGCAGCAGTCTCAATATTTACTATAGGACATACCTAGAATACTGTAAATGCTGAGGTGGTGTTTAAGGCAACTGGCATGTTTTCAGGGTGCCTGAGATGCTGTTGAGGTACAGATTTTGTGTAGACGAGGTGTGTTTTGTCCACCACCTCCCTAGGTAACCCATCCATCCTTAGAGGTTTTTAAGGCCTGGCTTGGCAAAGCCCTGGCTGGGATGATTTAGTTGGGGATTGGTCCTGTTTTGAGCAGGGGGTTGGACTAGATGACCTCCTGAGGTCTCTGCCAACTCTAATCTTCTATGATCCTAATTCATGCCTTCCTGCCATCCCTCCTCTGCGTCCTCGTTTGACTCCTGATCAGGAGGAGTACAAGGTACTGGCTGCACTGAGGTGGAGCTAGAGGTAACCTTTGTTGAGGTAACTCTTGATGAGCTTTTCCCTTAGCTCGCCTGTGCATGTAAGGTTAGATACTGGGCCGTACATGGAGACGTTGGCTGTGTTGTCCAAAGGTTTCCTTAAGTACTGATTAGATTAGACAGTGCTTTAGGCAGGAGGTAGCTTTTCTTCTTGAAGGAAGTATTCACAGTCTCAGTTAGTAAGAGCCAGGACTGACTTTCACTTTCCGCCTGGATCAGAGCCTCAGGCGTGGTGTGGTTTCCCTGCAGTGCTTCCAGGACTTACAGTGAAGGATCCAGATTTGGAAAGGCAAGGTGTAACATTACTGGGCCTGGGTCTGCTGTGTGGTTCCTGGTGTCCTGAGAGGCTGCCTAGGTGGCAGAAGGTCTCTGAGAAACAGGCGGATAGTTCATCATAGCATGAGGTGGTGGGCTCTGGAATTGAGTGAAGGCATTATGGGTTAACAAGGAGATTCGTGGCCTGGAATAGTACAGTGTGGATGTCTGTTGGCAGCTATGGAGGCAAGTGGTGGGGTGTCTTTGTTTCTGATATGACCAAGGCATAGGCTTCAAAGGATTCTTGGTGTTGGAGACTGTCTGCTACTGCTTGTGTTTTCCACAGCGGATAGTTTAGTGCCAAAATATCAGTGGGCTGTGGCTGATCAGTGGTCAGTGACTCATTATGGTCTTCTGTTCCGTAACTTATGAGTGGGGTGGAGTTACCTACAGGGATGTTTTTGAATTTGACTCTACGTAGGAGGGGGCAGAACGCAGTGGGAAAAAGGGAGGATCATGTGATAAATTTTATTTGTCACAAGGTTCCACATTTTAATCACATGGTTCTGCAACTGATCATATGGATATCCCCACGACATATGAAGCAGATTAGAGAGAGAGAGGCAGGAATTCCCTAGTGAAATATTAAGGTTTAAATGAGGGCATATGTTTCATTAGTTCATTTCCTAATTATGACTTGGGCATTAAAATTAAGAGAATTGCTACAAAAGGCAATTCAACAAAACAATTCAACACAAACTGGGACTGATCCGACTCATTTGGCATTTTCACTTCCTAAGTGCAACTCATTGTTCTGCGTGGGTTTTAAGGAACAGCACAGTCTTGGGTTTTTCGTTTGTTCCCATACCAAGCTAGATTTGCTTTGGATCAACAGCAACTTCAACCTGATTAGCAAGTGGCACTTTGCCTGCTCCTGCTTCGGGCTGTCAGAGACAGAACCACCAGCCGTGATCCTCTTCCCAGGCATGCTGCAAACCAAAAGCCGTTTTTCATCAAAAAACCGACACATTTTGAATGAAAAATTTCAGGCAGTTCTAGTTCTAGGCCATGGTGTGCAGCCGAGCTGAATACCACGTACTTCTGGGTGTTGCTGGATTTGTTACCACACCCCTTTCATTTTGCATGTACATTGCATTAAGAATCCACTAGTATTAATAACATTTAAAAATTATTTCATGCCCTCAGACATAAATTAATGTCCGTTTCTTACCCTGGTTTAATACTCATTTTACTCAGTTAAAGATCTCTATAAACAAACCTCAAACAAATGTGCCATACAGGTGTGTGGAGAGTAAACAAGCTAAGACCCCTTGTGCATCTAGTAAAACCAGCTGCAGCGATTTCTCCAATGGATGTCATGGCTGTAACATTTTCAGCAACTTTTCCTTGATATGAAATCATTCCAAAAAGTTAGTTCCTCTGAATAAGCCAGACTGCGAAAGTAGAGAGAGAAGATGCGGTCGAGTGAAACAATGCTGCTTTTATGGCCAATGACAAAATATTCTGATGGGGTGGGTGTAGTTATTGGACACTTCCTATTACCTTGGAAAATCTCCATCAATTCTACCCTGCTTCTTACTAATAAGTAATGCCCAGCTTCCTCCACCACTATTCAGGATAGCAGTCATGCCCATGCTGAAACTGGATAGCAAAGTGCCTTCGGCAGGCTACGAAAGAAATGAAATTCCCAAAGGGATTATGTATCAATAAGTGGAAAGCTAAATTGTCTTGTCCCTTCCAGCTTTGTATTGCAAATACGCCGCAAGACTCATGCTGTTCGTGGTGAGAAGCGATTTATGTTTCCATTGAGACACTGTACTCTGGTTCTTCTCTACTGCTTGGGACATTCCTTAGCTGATGTAAACTGACATCATCCCACTGACTTGTATGGAATCGCACCGATTTACTCCAGCGACAGATCTGGCCCAAGCAATAGAATTCTTTTAAAAAAACAACATCAGCTCTACCTAATATCAGACATGTGATATATATAGAGTCCCCTCCCCTCCTGAGCTCACAGCTCTGCGGAAGAGAAAAAGTTAATTAGTTAGGTTGCCAGCAGACTGTATTTCAAGGACTTTTATTTGTTGCTTTGTCTATCCTGACTTGAGAAACCCTGAGCTTCCCTGCTTTGAATAGTTCCTGAATTCAGGAAACTGGAATGAAATCTGGCGACTGGAAAAGGCTGTGTGGACCGACCGAGGGCAAGGTCGATGGGAAGAGCTTTTTGTGTTTTGTTTTGTAACTATTTAGCATTTTTCTCTCAGCATTAAAAGGCTAGAGACAAGTTCTGCACCGAGGCAGATCGAGGCAGCCTTTGACAGCAGTGCTTTCATTGGTGTGGGATTTGAGCCCAGCTGTCTTCAGCCTTGGTGAGTGCAAAGCAATGAACGCACACAGGCATCGCTCCCGTTATGGGGAGGTTAGCGAACTCGTGTTAAAAGCACACAGTCAAGATAAAATCCAAATACACACTTACAATGGAGGGTGGAATTTGGCTCCACGTACATGAATCTCTTACCTGTGGCAACAGCAGCTTACATTTTACAAATTTACTCACTTTTCACCGCTGATGCTGTTTTCAAACACCTCAACAAGGCCTCAATCCTGAACCTGGATCTACAGAGCCAGGTCCCTGTATCCACAGGAACAGCTTTTGAAGGAAAATGGGCTCTGCTTGTGTAGACCTGGTTCCTGGATCAAGGTCTAAGCAGTGAAACCAGACAGGTGAGTTTAACTTTCTGTGTCTAGTCAGTTTCACATTAAGAGGCCTCTTTGAAGGGCTCCTTTGCTTTGACACTTGTTGGAACGGATGGGCAGCACACACGGAAGCATTTCACGGTCGCCAAGCTTGGTGTAGGAAAACATTTGTGTGTGGTTTCAGGGATAAGGATCTTTAAGCAATGATGCACAGAATCACTTAAACCAAATTTAGTGAACAACACTGTTTTTTCCCAGCTTTAAGCATGTGGACAGGAATAATTTCCCCTCTGGTAACTGGTGAACTCAACAGTGTACATGACCCCAAGTCTTTGTCAGTAATCTCTTAATCAATCTAAGGAGAACCAGGTCTGAAAGATCAGGGCATCATGAGGCCACATAATTACATGTCCTACTAATTGGGATGATGAGTTTTAAAGTTTCAGAGCTTAAAATCCCTCTGCCCTGCAGGGTGAATCCTGTTGAATATCACTGCATTCCTGAAATGAGACACAGTCACCCCACAGGAAAGGTGGAATTTCTAAGACCCCAGCACTTGTATTTTCAAATTCGATGGAAGTTCCCATTTTCTACCAGTCAGTTACCAAAAAAAAAAAAAAAAAAGCCAGAAAGAGAGAAAACACCAGACTTGGCTGCTTTCTGTCCCCTTTGTAGCCCTATCTCGACAGGACACAAACATGTGGTTGGCAATCCCATGAGCTCAATACAGTGAGCTTAACATGACTGAAAAACCAGCTAACGTCTTCCAGCAGGTGAGCCGGCGCCTCGACGAGCGCCGTTCAATAACTACCAAGACTGAAAACCACACGGCTTTTGCCATGGGCAAGACCAGGCCTGAGAACGGCTGTCTGTCTCTCCCTTACCTTTGGCTGCATGGGTGGTGGAGGAGGTGTTAAGACCGGATCCGTAATGTAGGTCTTCTTTGTGCTGGGCGGTTGGTACGGCCCAGTTGGATTTTGAGCCATGGTGTTAGCTGTGGGATAGGCTGGCTCAGGCTTCCAGGTGTTTTGTGGCACATAGGATGGTTCCGAGCCATTTCTTCCTCCATATCCAGGGCCTGCAGGGTAGTAAAGATCTTGATACCGCCCCTGTGAAGGTGCATAGCCATAACCAGGCTCTGAAGGATGTGCAGGCTGGGGAGCATACCCATAGTCAGGGCCACGAGGCTGAGATGGAACATACTGTGCTGGCCCTGGGGGGCGTGCTGGCTGAGGAGCGTAGGACTGGTTTGGACCCAGGCTGCCGTACTGAACTGGCTGTGGGCCAGGTGGCTGGAAATGAGGGCTGGGCTGGGCCGTTCTCACCTGTACGTTGAACGCCGGTCGGGTGGGAGTGGACGCAGTGATATAAGAAGCTGGAACTGGTTGTGGCTGCGGTTTTAGTGTACCAACAGGAGTAACTGGGATTGGGGCGGGCGGAGCAGCAGGTTGCACTGGTGCCTTGGCAGTAGACTTCTTGGTGGCAGTGAGAGGCGGCTGGTTGGGAATGATCATCCGCTTGTGCCCAGTAACAGGGGTAGATCCCGGGGGAGAAGTAACTGGAGAGCCGGTGGGGAACCCAGAGCTCTGTGGAACAATAAGAGGAGAAAAATGCTATCACCAGCAAGAAGGAAACATACAACCGGTAAAAACAAGCAGCTAGAGTTAAATGGAAATAGGATTTTATAGCAACATCTGCACAGCCATAGAACCTGCTTCGTAAAGCAGGAATGTACCTGGGACTACACATTATAAAGTGGTAATAGCAGAGCAGGGGCAAAACCCGTGCAACAGAACAGAACGGCCAAGCAGGATATTTCATTTTTCTCTGGGATTTTGACTCTACAAAAATCTGCCTTAAACAAAAGCTCTTGCTGGAGAATAATACGAGGGGAACCAATGTGCATAGTTGTAAAGATTCCTGTAAAATAAGAGAGCTCTGAAATGGAGAGGACTCCAAACTGTGTTCGCTCCTGCTCACTGATAAGGAAGATCCTTTTAATACGCAGAAGGCAGTGCAAAGGGATGGATTAAAAGCAACTCCCATGGAAGTGTCCTCAAAGCAATACACATTACCCCAGATCAAATGCCAAAGAAAAATACAGAGCTATGCCAATATACACATATAAAGCCTGGTTCTGCTCTCTATTATGCTGGTGTGAATCTGGAGTGATTGCCGTGAGGTCAAAAGGTATAAATCTAGTGTAAGCGCAGAGTGGGGCCAGCGGTCCTGAAGGCTTAAGTCCTCTGAATCCAATGTGATCAATTTATAAGGAACAGGAGTGGGATTCAAGAGACAATGGTTCTGTTTACAGCTCTGCCATGGATGTGTTGTGAGATCAGGCCTGTCTCTGGGACTCAGTGGACAAATGCAGAATTAGTGAAACGACAACATCACAAGAACTGAGCAATAGACTGAGGGGATTTTAGGTCTCATGTGTGTAAAATATTTGTTGTTTTGGTTAAGACCTATTTAACCCCACTGCCTAATGAAAGGACACCTTTGCTGATGATCCAACAAATCAAAAAAGGGTGGGAAAGTTCTTAAAATTCACCTCGTTTTCCTCGTTTTCTTTTAAAAAGTTTATATATTTTCCCTGCTTTCATTATACAGGGGAAGAAGCAGAAAATTGAAGAAATGCAATTTTAAAAATTTTTTTGCTTGTCACTTTTAAATTGGTCTGAAATTGGTCTTTGAGGGGAGGAATAGCTCAGTGGTTTGAGCACTGGCCTGCTAAACCCAGGGTTTTGAGTTCAATCCTTGAGGCGGTCATTTAGGGATCTGAGGCAAAAATAAGGGATGGTACTTGGTCCTGCTGTGAAGGCAGGGAACTGGACTCGATGACCTTTCATAGAATCATAGAATATCAGGGTTGGAAGGGACCTCAGGAGGTCATCTAGTCCAACCCCCTGCTCAAAGCAGGACCAATCCCCAATTAAATCATCCCAGCCAGGGCTTTGTCAAGCCTGACCTTAAAAACTTCTAAGGAAGGAGATTCTACCACCTCCCTAGGTAATGCATTCCAGTGTTTCACCACCCTCCTAGTGAAGAAGTTTTTCCTAATATCCAACCTAAACCTCCCCCACTGCAACTTGAGACCATTACTCCTTGTCCTGTCCTCTTCTACCACTGAGAATAGTCTAGAACCATCCTTTCTGGAATCACCTCTCAGGTAGTTGAAAGCAGCTATCAAATCCCCTCTCATTCTTCTCTTCTGCAGACTAAACAATCCCAGTTCCCTCAGCCTCTCCTCATAAGTCATGTGTTCCAGACCCCTAATCATTTTTGTTGCCCTTCGCTGGACTCTCTCTAGTTTATCCACATCCTTCTTGTAGTGTGGGGCCCAAAACTGGACACAGGACTCCAGATGAGGCCTCACCAATGTCCAATAGAGGGGAACGATCACGTCCCTCGATCTGCTCGCTATGCCCCTACTTATACATCCCAAAATGCCATTGGCCTTCTTGGCAACAAGGGCACACTGCTGACTCATATCCAGCTTCTCGTCCACTGTCACCCCTAGGTCCTTTTCCGCAGAACTGCTGCCTAGCCATTCGGTCCCTAGTCTGTAGCTGTACATTGGGTTCTTTCAAGGTCCCTTCCAGCTCTATGAGATAGGTATATTTATTTTTTTAATGGTTTTCCAAGATTTTGTTGAGCTTTCTGCAGGGGAATGAATTCCACCCAGAATCAATTCTATAATCTAAGAGTCAATTTCAGCCTTAGTGGAGGCAGATGCAGCCTTGTTGAAGTGAATGGACCCCAGGCTGGTCTACAGTAAGGCTACGTTCGACTTTAGGCAAATATCTGATCCCACAGATTACCAGTCTTGTATGAGTTGCTACCAAACCCCAGACAGCAGTGGAAAGAGGGGCACTATAGAATTTATAGACCCTTCGTAAGTTGCATATGGAAAAAACCATTGAACCTCCTGTACACAACACACAAAGAAAACCAATAAAAAAGAATAAGAAAATCTCAAATTCCCTCTGCCATTAGGCAGAGAATTTATAAAGATTAACTAGCATAGAGGATTTAGGTGCGAACATTTCCAAGTGTGCTGTAGTGTTCTTAAACAACTTACAGCTGCGGAGGCAACTTTGGAGCAAACCCCAATTGTGAAGGAGTCACCATAAACAAATGTAGAGAGAGAAAGGAAAACATAGCACACACCTGACTCCAAACCAGTGAGAGAGGCGAAAGAAAACAAGGCAGTAAGCTTCAGCTGGAGAAAAATACAGCGACTGTATTTAACCCCTGACCTTCCAAACAACCATGGGATTCCTGGGAAGGACAGTAAAGTGAGCAGGGTGGAAAGATGCGGGAGTGAGCATAGAGAAGCTATGGGGAGGAAGTGACTCAGGGCCTTGCAGGTGAGGAAAGGAGCTTTTTTGCTCACCTAATGAGAAACTTTGCTTGTTGCCTGATCTATTGCGCCCAGTGAATGTGGCATTTAAGCCTGAGCATGCTAGAAACTTGCCAGTTTCTCCACGTATTTTGTTCTTGTAAATGAATAGGTGTCCACCTACTGTAATGGGATGAAAGGGCCGAAACACAGCAGAGCGTAAGTACAGTACCCCCAAGAAAGTGCTTTTTGCGGGGCAGAGTGGGGAGAAGCTGGATAATGTTTTAATGACAATGGGCTATTGGAGGAGCGGGGAAGGGGGAGAGGCCCTGTTCACCAAACCCGTGCACAACTTCTGGGTTTGAAAAACAGGCTCTGAGAGAAGATAATGAGGAACTATGGCAAAAATACAAGTGTAGTTTAAATCTGCACGAAAATTCAACAGTTTTAACCCTTCCAAACCACAATATGGGATTTTTTTCCCCTTTTTTATAACTTCATTTAGTGTGTTGATTACAGACCTTCTTCTTCCACCACCGCCCCCGAAGGCCAGAAACAAGGGAGACTTGGTGTTTCACAGGGAAAGCACTCTCCATCCCAAACAGCACCCTGTGCTTGTTGACTGGGGAGATATAGTCCAAAAAGGGCCCAGAATGGAGACCAAATGAACAAAGAAAAGAGCACAAGGAGCAGCTCTCCCTCTCGCAATGTGGTCTAACCATGGTTAGAGCAGGGGACCGGGAGCCAGGGGACCTGCGCTGTATTCCCTGCTCTTCCCGAGTCACTCTGTGACCTTACACAAGTAACTGAGGGGTGTACTGTGTCACTCAAACCACAGCCAGCATTCAGATGGAGGAAATCTGCACCAGGAGGAGTCATCAGAGGCATTCAGCATGACTCACCCTGAATTCCTCTGGCAGTGTTGGGGGAAGAAGGGGCAAAACCAGTTAATAGGGTGTGGTCAGAGAAAGGGGGCAGGGCTATGGCTTTTTGGGAAGTCTAGCACTGCTGAGAGCATAAGGGCTCCCTGGGAGGACAAAGATAAGTCCTGTGTCTGTCTGTCCCCTGAGCAGGGGCAGAAGGAGAAAAGGTCTCTTGACCCGCACAGGGCCGGCCACTATCTGGTCTTCAGCACCTCTGGTTACACACACGACTATTCATCAGTATCTTAGCCCTCATTCTGAAATGGGGGTTCTCCAGGTTAAGGTAACACAAAGGTGGTAAGCCAATCGGAGCTGGGGATGGTGCAGGATTCTCTCTCGGGTGGTTCATATTTAAAGGCACCGCAGAAGAAGGGATTTGAAGGAGGAGAGGAAGGTGCTCAGATACCAAGGGGACACGCATGATCATAGAATCATAGAATATAAGGGTTGGAAGGGACCCCAGAAGGTCATCTAGTCCAACCCCCTGCTCAAAGCAGGACCAATTCCCAGTTAAATCATCCCAGCCAGGGCTTTGTCAAGCCTGACCTTAAAAACCTCTAAGGAAGGAGATTCTACCACCTCCCTAGGTAACGCATTCCAGTGTTTCACCACCCTCTTAGTGAAAAAGTTTTTCCTAATATCCAATCTAAACCTCCCCCACTGCAGCTTGAGACCATTACTCCTCGTTCTGTCATCTGATACCATTGAGAACAGTCTAGAGCCATCCTCTTTGGAACCCCCTTTCAGGTAGTTGAAAGCAGCTATCAAATCCCCCCTCATTCTTCTCTTCTGCAGGCTAAACAATCCCAGCTCCCTCAGCCTCTCCTCATAACTCATGTGTTCCAGACCCCTAATCATTTTTGTTGCCCTTCGCTGGACTCTCTCCAATTTATCCACATCCTTCTTGAAGTGTGGGGCCCAAAACTGGACACAGTACTCCAGATGAGGCCTCACCAATGTCGAATAGAGGGGAACGATCACGTCCCTCGATCTGCTCGCTATGCCCCTACTTATACATCCCAAAATGCCATTGGCCTTCTTGGCAACAAGGTCACACTGCTGACTCATATCCAGCTTCTCGTCCACTGTCACCCCTAGGTCCTTTTCTGCAGAACTGCTGCCTAGCCATTCGGTCCCTAGTCTGTAGCTGTGCATTGGGTTCTTCCGTCCTAAGTGCAGGACCCTGCACTTATCCTTATTGAACCTCATCAGATTTCTTTTGGCCCAATCCTCCAATTTGTCTAGGTCCTTCTGTATCCTATCCCTCCCCTCCAGCGTATCTACCACTCCTCCCAGTTTAGTATCATCCGCAAATTTG